CGGCAGAGAAAAGGCTGTCACTGTCCTTTCTTCCTTTTGGTACAAGCGTCTCCCTGAGCCGACGATTCTCCCGCAGTGACACCTCTCACGGGCACTAATGAGATCCATGTCACAGAGCTAATGCGTTCTGACTGGACTCTTGATAGACACCCCACTCCTTCAGGGGAGACCACAGGCCAGCCCACTGCCCCCCTGGGGGCCAGGCCCCCACCCTGCCACCTTCCAGCCCAGCTCTCTTGCCAAACAGTTCTGGGTAGCAAGCTCTTGAGAGTCCACTTGGTTTCTGGCCATGCCACCTGTACCACAAGCCTCACTGGGATCCTTCTCCATCCCAGAGCAGAGGGGCCAAGCTCCTAGGCAGGACCACCCAGCCAGGCATCAGGGAAGGTTCCAGTTACTCTCCTAGCCAGCTGAAACCAGCAGTAGTCTGTGGGGCCTCCAAGTTACAACAGCAGGTGAGATTTTACTGACATTTCCTGTGCAGATTTCCAAAAAAGAAGGGAAGGAGGCCCAGGCCCTGCCCTTAGAGAACCCAAGTACGTAGGGCCAGATCATTACCTCTGACAAATTATAATAGGGCCCAAGTGTGTGTTTTGAACACTCACACTGGGAGGGCCAGGCAAGATTCCCAGAGGAGGTGGCCCCTGGAAGATTAGCAGAATTTTCCTGGGCCATGAGGTAGAGAGAGAACTGAAATCACAAAGAACCGTCAGGGCCAGAAGGAGGTCAGATGCCAACAGTTGCAGGTCCCTGGCTCAGGGTGACTGTAGCAGCAGAGAGGGAGTGGTGATGCTGCCTTTGCTTTCTTCCTCAGCTGCTGCTACTAAAGCTCTGCTCAGGCCTGCATGTTTCACTTGACACTGAGGGAAATGAGGGAAGCGAGCTTGTTTTCTTCCACATCGTCTCCATTGGTAGCGCATAGCCCAATACCAAAAGGGTGCTTCATAGTTCCGCAGTGATAACACAGGCTCTGCACTCAGATGGGCTTGGGTTTGAATCCTGGCTCCTCAATCAACTGGCTGTGTGACCTTAGGCAGTTCACTTCACTGAGCCTCAGTTTCTTCATCTATAAAATGGGAATGATGATGCCTGCCTTCATAAGACTGTTGTGAAAACTGAATTAGTTAATAGAAAGTGCTTCCAACAAATGTGAGTGCTTACTGCCCCTTTGCTGAAATGAATGAAGGACCACTCAGCAGTCCCCTGTGGAGGCTGCCCTCCCTCAGAGCCTGTGGTCCAAACCAAGGATGCTGACAGAGACCATCGGCAGCCCTGGAGTCGGCAGTTCTAGATGCATGCAGGCCCTACTCACCACAACCTGCTCTGGCACCAGGCTGTTCACCAGGCTCCCAAGGCAAAATCTGCTACTGCAGAAGGAAGTGCCCTCCCCTGACTATGACGTCACGCTGACAAGCCTCCAGCAGCCTTTCTACCCAGTGCTGCACCACCTCCGGACCCTCCTTGGCCATCCCTAAACCCAACTTCACTTTCAGTCCCCAGGGCCAAGCCCACAACTCCACTTGTGAGCTCTGTGGGGGCAGAGCACTGTGTCTGCCATTGTTACCAATACATTTCTAGCACCTACCATGGTTCCTGATGTATGGTAGGTCCAAGATAGTGTGTACGGAATGAAAGAAAGTTTTACCTGGTGTCCTACCTCTATTTCCAGGGCCGATGCACTCTTGCTTACCTTGCTGCCCCTCCCCTTCAGCCTCCCTATCTGCAGTCTCTCCTCACTAGTCCTTCCCCTACAAACTATGAGCATCCTCTGACTGAAGCCAACACTGACCATGTAACTCCCCTGGCCAAAACACTCCTACAGCATGCACAACCATCCTAGTAGCCCTCTCCCCTATGGCCTGAGCCCCTTCCCCACACCCATCAGCCCAAGCCTGCCTCTGTGCTCTCTCAGCACCTTCACACCACCCATGCCACACTCCTGTGGCACTGCAGGAGGACTGAGCAGACCCTGGACATGGCTCAGCTGTGGGATCCACAGCACCCTTGCCTGGCAGCCACCCAATGCTGCCTCACCCCCCACCAGCCAATACACATACCACTCCCCATTCCAAGCTGGCAGCTCCTCACACAGTTAATTAGCACCATGTCACTAAGGACCAGCCTGAGTGGCCAGTGACAGGAGCTGACCTCTGACCCCCAGGGCTGGGAAGCAGTCCACATCAAACTCTTACAGCGCGACCCTTTTAGCACGCACAGTAACTCGGGGCATCGCCAGCTGAAGCTCATTAAAGCTGTCTCTTTGGTGCGAGGGCCATTAACCTCACTGCTCAAAACCCACGCCTCCCCTTCCCCGCCTCTCCCAGCCCAATTAATGCCCTATATCCTCCCTCCCTTCCAAGCACCCTCACCCACACCTCAGAGCCAGCCTGGAGGTGGCAGGGCAGCCCTCTTCATTCAAAGACTACAAAGACCAAGTGTCAAGAAGCCCAGTATCCTAGGGAGCCCCTGGTGCTGGCAACAGAGGAGGGAGCCCCTTTAGCCCCACAGTGTGCCTAGCACTGCATGAACACTTTCCCAGGGGACTCACTGAGCCTTCCCAACAACCCAGAGAGGCAGGTGGCATTGTCCTTCATCTATGGTCACAGGGTTCTGGGTGGAAGAACCAGAACTACTTCTGGCTCCAAAGCCCTTACCTCCATTGTCACTCAGAGCCTTGGGCTGCCCCATAGGGCCCACCCAGATAAAGAAACCACCTTCTCTGAAAAAGCAGGGGATACCTCAGAGGTCCTAACCTAGGGTCAACAGGTGAACAGACAACAGGGGCATTGCTGAGTCTCAAGAAGCACAGAGCGGGAACAAGGAACCCCTTCTTCTCAAACACACACCCTGGGACAGATGATAGAAGGGGCACCCAGATAAAGTGTATGTGGGGTGCATTAACCCTGGCTGTCCCTAGCCCCCAGCCAGTTCTTCCTTCCGTGGACCAATGCAAGTCTTCTCACTGGTCCTCTTTGGTTCCTCCCTTTCCCATCACTCTTTCATTGATTCATTTACTCACCTACTCATTCATTCAACCACCCACAAGCATTTATTGAGCACCTACTAAGAACTAGTTTTGTGCAACACAAACTGCCTCATTGATTCTGAACCAGAGCTTTGATCACATCATTCTCTCACTCACAAACTTCCTATGTCTCCTCAAAACTGCAGGAAAAGTCCACACCCTTTAACCAGGCATTCAAGGCCCTGCTTATGTCTCTGATTATTTTCTAGCTGTTTCCTAACCCAAATTTGCCACTTTAGTCATGGGAAGCTTCTTGTAGGTGTCTGAACTTGTCCTCAGCACACTGGGTTTCTCATGCCCACAGGCCTTTCTACTGAGTCCTCCTATCTAAAATACCCTCCCCCCATTTTTCTGACTACCAAACTCCTATTCATCCTTCAAGGATTCCAATTCAAGTGTCCTCTTCTATAGGAAACTTCCTGCTGACCTCCCAGGCATATTACCCTGCTGGGTTTGGCATCTTCTCTAGATTGTTTGGAAAATATCTATGAGAGGGAACATCATTTATGGTGGAGTACCCCCAGTTCCCCAGGCCTGTTGGTCACTTCCTCTTAGCCTGGACCCTGGGAAACCCTAGAGATGTCCCAACAAGAACATGGGGGCATCCCTCCTGGGGTGAGATGCCCCCAATATCACTACCTCTTAGTGAGAGGTAACTGAAGAAGTAGAAGCTACTTGGCAACTAAGGAGAGGGAAAACCACCTTTGGGGCAACCCATGTATTTTCTATCACGGCCCTTAGTACCTTGGGTGGCAAGCACCTACTTCAGGGAAGTCCCTGTCTCTTCCCAGGATGTGAGCTCACTGAGAACAGAAACTTGTACTCAGTGTGCCCAGCATCCACAAGGCACCAGTGAATGTCTGGAATGGATAAATGGTCTACTTTGAAGGAGGTGACTGGGTCCTTCGGACCTGGTATTCTCTCTCCAGTTCCCCCAACAATGATGCGACCCCAAAGGCTCACAGGTTGTGGTAATGTCAGAACACTGCCCAGAGACGCTCTGGCTCTTCCCCACTTGGAATGAGGCCTATGCCTGGTCAGATGCCCCACCTGAGAGCATGTGCATGCACACATGTGCATATGCAAACAAAATAAGATACACAGAACTGAACAGACACACTTGACAGATACACACAGAGACTGGTAGCTGCTTCCACACAGACTCATGCCCTCAGAAAAATACAGATATACTGTTAACACGCCCCCCAACAGACATGTATAATCATGGACACATTATACTCTCAGTCTGACACAGAGACATACAGCTAAAGGTGTCACACATATGCAGACACACAGATACAGACAGATATGTATTCATACTGATAGATCAGAAACTAAAAGAGCCTCCAACTGCCTGGAATCGTAGCCACTCCAGTTCCCTTCCAAACAAGAATCCCCCTGAGGGTATACCCCCATTTGGTACCCCAAGTGGCCCGCCTCAACCCAGGCACCGCTCAATGGAGGCTGCTGCTCCTGCAGGGGAGTCAATACCCTGTGGACGGAGTCATCGGTCAGAAGGACCCCGACTAATTAAAAGCTGGTGAGGTTTAAATAATTCATCTCCTTAACTCCCATTGATCGTCCAGTTTAGTGGCCACAGACTTGAAACAATATTAAACAGCCTCCTCCAGCTCCACGGGGGGTGGGTAAGCTGACATGTCCCCACCCGCTGAGGACATTGCCCACTAGAGATGCAGCCAGTGAGGGGGGACCTTGGCCTGAGTCCAAGGCCACCTGTGACTCACCAAAAGCCCAGACCCAGCCTCCTCCAAAATACCACTTTGAGTGGTGCCTTCCAGTGGTCCCATTCAGTAATTTTCTCATTCCACCCGCCTTCCGCCGTTCCCCCAGCTATGTAGAGAGCCCTGTTGGGGCACTGAATGAGCCATGGAAACTCTCTGTGTGCCTGGGGACTGGGGCATGCGGGCAAGGGACGATGGATGGAGCTGCCAGGGGAATATGCGAAGGGACTGACCAATGCCGCTGTGGGGCCGGCCTATGTGTTGCAGGCTGAGGCCCTTGTTCATGTCTAGAAGTCCATTCTTGGGCCAGCAGCCCATGGCGAAGCTGTAAGCCTGGAAGACAGGAGGCAAGTGGTTAACGGAGGCCCTGACCCTCTGAACCAACCCCACTCACAAGGTCTTCCCCCCGACCCCCCAAATCTTTCCAACAAGGAATCCCTCTCACAATGCCATCTCGTGAGAATCCCTTCTCCACCCAGGTCCTCCCGCAACCCAACAGAAAGTCCCTTCCTTCTCCAGAGTGCCCTTTCTCCTGGGCTTCTCCCCATCTGAGTCCCTGGCCCTCACCGGGTGCCCCTCACCAGAACTCCTCTCTAAGGAGTTCCCATTCACTAGGCTCCTCCTTCTCAGGAGCCCTCCTCTCACAAGGGCACACCTGTACCATGCACACCTCCTTAGGATCTCCCCTTTCCAGATCCCCCAGCACTTTGCTGGGCCCCCTCCTCACAGTACTACTGTTCACAAAGACTGGCCTCAGGCAGGACCTTGGAAACCAGCACATCCAAACTGCACTCCACAGACAGAAATGTTGAAGTGAGAGCTGGCTAGCAAGGTGCCATGGTCAAGGTGCTTTTGCCCACAAGCAGGCCAGGCTATGGAAGGCTCTGGGAGTTTTGTGGGGGCTCAACTGAGGAGAGGAGTAAGGTCACTTGGTCAATTCAAGCAGCTGGGAGGGGGGGAACATGGGGCATATGTGTGTGTGTGTCTGTGTGTGTGTGTGAGTGTGTATGTGTGTGTGTGTGGTGGGGGGAGCAGATGCTCTGCTGAAGGTCAAGTGCTCACTTATGCATATTCAAAGCGGCCACCCATCGATCTGTACTTAATTGTTTTCCTGGGGTTGGGGAAGGAAGTGCTGGGGGCATCGATCTGCTCAGGCCCCAGCACTCCACTGCCTCCCCCCTCTATCCCCTTCCCTCACCACCTGGCTGCCAGCAACCTCCACCTGGGGGGGCGGCACATGGCAGGGCAGGGGCAGCGCCTTCCCTTACAGTCCCTTTTAGCCATGACTGACCTGACGCCACAGATGAGGAAACTGAGGCCCAGAAAGAAGAGACTTAACATAGGTTAGATCACTATGAAGTAGCCGAATAGGATTTAATTCCTGCTCAGCCTGTTAACCAAATCCTGGGCTTCTCCTGGTGGGCCTGGTAGCTAGTCAGGCTTTCAAACATTACCCACACCTCACTTTAGAAGTCCGCAAACACCAGGCCGCCCTTCTACCAGTGGCAGGACAGCATACAGGGCGGTGGTCAGAATAAAGCTTGGGTGAGTTTCCAGAAGTTGGATGGGGGTCCAGTGACGGAACCAAAGTGACTGCCAGCTGTGAGCAGATGAGCACTGCAGTGGTCCAGCCCTTTGCTAGTCCCAGGAGGTCTCCATCCCACTAACACACAGGGGAGAGCACCCAGCACAGGGTCAGAAACACAAAATGGGAGGCTGCAAACAGTGCCTGTGCCAGGGCCCAGGGCCCAGATTCTGTGTCCACCCTTCCTTTCCAGCTGCAGGAACCAACACTCCAGCCCCATGGGTACTAGGAGGCTAGGAGAGAGTGTACTTAAACCTTAGCACCCTCTAAAGCCATTCTCCTTGACCACAGAGGTACCAGCCACAGCCCAACTTCCCAGCCAGCCTTCCCCCACCCTTTCCCAGGCCACAGCTGAACCCACAAATCAGGGGCTGAGTGTGAGGCTCAAGGACAGGGAAGAAGATGCTGGCCCAGAGCCAGGGCAGAGCTGGGATGGAGGCAGTGAGGGAAGCAGCCAGTGGGCGGTGCACAGTCAGAGAAGCCACTGAGCCTGGTCAGGGCTGAGGCTGGAGCGCAGTGGGCCAGAGAGCAGTGGCGGCCGCTTTTCAAGTACTTTAAAATCACTTACAAAGGCCGGATTAAACGATCAGAAATTCCATTTAATAGGACAAATAAAGAAATAACAATCTACTCTATCAGCCTGGAGAAGGCGAGCTGGATGGGTTTTTTTTCCCCCTCTAAAAAGGAAAACGGGAAGGAAGGGGGAAAAAAGAAGGATAATGTGTGTTTACTCAAGCAAAGAAAAAAATATTTAAGTGATGTCGGGGAGAAGATTGCAGTAACTAGTGAAGAATAACATCGTCTACTTTGCTGTCAAATCACACCCGAATTTCAGTAATAGATTCTCGGCTGACACTCAATTCAATTCGAAGGTGATCCTGCTTTATCCCAGCCCATCAAATATTAAACACTTGCATTAGCAGGTGCTGCCGCTTCCCGGCTTAAAGCGACGGGCGGGCGGCAGGGCTGCCGGGGCCCCTCCGCTCTGCTTATGGCTCGGGGACAGGGCAGCTCAACGTTATCTGCACGTCATCCTGAGTCTTATCGCAGTTAAGTGGGAAGACCACTTCAGATAACATTAGATGCTTGCCCCGCCGCGTCACCGTGATTAGATTATTATTGTAATTATGACTCCCCAAGATCTTCCACAGACTGGGATGTGTGGAAGGGGGACGGAGGACAGCAGAGCCCAGGAGGGCCAGGCTGGACCAGGGAAAGCTGGGCCCCTGGCAGGAAAGCAGAGGTGCCAGGCAAGGCGGCAACCCGGTCCCGCCTGACGGATGCCTTTCAGGAAGGGCAGTCTGGCTTGTCAGAGCGAGGGCGAGATGAATTGGCGTCTCCACTGTGGCCACGGGTGTCATGCCGCACAGTTTCATATTCCCAGATAAGGCGTGATAACCAATTGCTGCTGTGACATGGCCTCATCCAGCACTTCCTCAGGGGGGCGTGGGGCGGGGGAGGGGGCGGCGCATGCACATGGGTCTGCCAAGCTCCTAATAAGAGGGATTTAATTTTTACAAATGCTGCTTCCAGCGGGGCCTTCACATACCAGCCAAAGTCCAAAAACGATATTAAAAACGGTTAATTAAAACTGCTCTCCCTCAGCCTGGGCTCTCCCGCTGTTGGCCCTGCTGAGAACCCTGGCACGTCTTCCCCAGGTACTGACACGTGCACCTGCAGAGCCTAACCTTCTGATGTGACCGCCAGCCTCATGGGGCCGCCCTAGGCATAATACCAGGGCCCAGCACCTCATGCTCCCCCCAGCTCCTGCCATCTTGGGTACTGCTCAGGCACAGCCAACAGATGCAGATAGCTGCCCACAAAACATCGGTGGTCCCACAGCAACCTGTGCTCCTGCCAACATATGGTCTGGATCCTCACACCTGCTGCTCCTCTGCACCTAGACTCATCCGTGCCCACCACTCACTTTTAAAGCCCACGCCTCTCCCCACCAGATATGCAGGCCATGGAGTGGCCCAAGCGCATATATGCTGGCACGCCACACATGCACCGGACTTGCCCTCGGGTGACTCTGCCACCCTTCCATGACTTGCTCCCTCCATTCGCCCTCCTTAAGAGATTGTATCTGTCTACAAATCTCAGCAGAGACCTTTCTGGGAGTCGTGATCAGGGTGAGGTGTCATGGGCTATGTGTCAGAGATTCCGGCTGAGGAGCCAAGGCCAGCCAAGGCTGGCCCCACCACAGCAGGAGGATCAGCAAGACTGAGCCCTGTGGATTGCCCACAGGGGACAATGAAGACAAGCACACCCCGGTGAGATTGGAGGAGGCTAGGAAAGCTTCCTGGAGGGAGTGGTGCTGGCAGGCTGGGAGGGTTTGACAGGTGGCAGGGGACTATAACATTCCAGACAGAAGGCACAGCAAGGACAAAGGAAAATGGCATGAGCAAGCACAATAAAGGCTTGGGTGTGGCTGGGACAGCCAAGTTAGAGAGGGGAGCGACATCTTAAGGCACTGCCTCTCAACTCTGTGTACCTGGCAGCAACATGGCATCAAGGGGCCTTGTGTCCATCCCTTTACTCCTGCCTGCTCCCTCTCACTGCTCCCTTCCCTCTCCTGCCAGCTTGGGGGAGTGGGGGTATGGGGCCCAGAAGCTTTCTGACCTTCATCAGTGTGGGGCAGGAATCTGATTTAAGAGCTCTCTCCAAGAACTTGTGCCCAAGCCTGTTTCCCAAAGCTGCTTCCAAATCCTCTGGGTGCCACTTCTTTGGCTGCAACTCTCTCAGCCATCAGGGTCCACCTGCCCAGCTATGCACAGTCAGCACCTAGCCCCTGGGGTTCCCAGCCAGAGGGTGGGGCAGGTAGGAGGACGACTGAGGAGCTCCTGAGTCCTGTCCAGGCCAGGTACTGATACGAGCCACAGGGACAGGTGGAACTGGCTGGGGTGAAAGATGCTAGGCCTACCAAGTCAACCCACCCCAGCCCTGTGCCAGGCAGGCACGCACGCTTCCCTTCCCCTGGGCTGCTGCAATTTCCATGCGCAGGGAAGCAGGTGCCGAGCTGTTCCCTTCTGGCTCTCCTCTCTTGTGGCTCTGCCCGCCTTGGCTGCTGCCCCATTAGCTTAGTGGCCAGCCATCTGCGACGGGCCTGCCGCATAGCCCTGCTGTAGGCGCGGCGGGTGGCCCCCTGTGTAACAGGGAGCTTTGCCATTAGCGCCTTTAATATTCTGACACCTCAGCACAGCCTGCTATTACATGCAAACGCTGATCGCCCTGTGAAATTACATTGCTAGGCCCGCGCGAAATGGAATCGTGTATAATCAGCCTCCTCCATGCACTGTCAGTCCCATCACAAACACGGCGCCCGGCGGCTTACGGGGGCTTAGCAGCTGCGACAAGTGTATTGGGTTTAATAGATGAAGTAGCCCTCATCGGCTGCAGCATCAGCTCCTTCAAAGAGGAAAGAAGAGGCCTCAGCAGCTGCTATAGTGTCTCTGCCCACCCATATACTACCTACCAGGACCCTGAGAGCAGGGTGGACACACAGTGGGAAGGGCTGTGGTTGGGCTAAAAGGCTAGAACCCAGTTCAGGCTGCAGATAGAATAGGCTGCTCTGCAACTTCCAGAAAACCCAGCGTTTCGAAGCCTGTGCTAGCATATTCAGCCTATCCAGCCCACCTAGAGGTGAGGAGGAGCAGGCTTTTAACCATACCTCTGGATGACTTGTCACCCTGTAGGCGATTGCTCAAGACTAGGAACCAAATCAAACCAACTGCCATTCCCCTAACCC